GGTGTGCCCAGGAGGGCCACCAGATGACTGTGTTCGGTGAGCACATGGCTTGTGTTGTCTGTTGCCATGTGCTCTCTCCTGTCTATTGTCTTGCCCCTCCCATCTTGTTACCTCGTTATTGTTTATTTTTTTTTTTTTTTTTACTTTACAGTCAGTTGTATGATAATTTGGTAAGTGTCACAATATTACCACAGAACGCAAGTCAAATTGAATGTAAATTAACTTCAAATAATGTCGCTGTAAAACACTGCAGACAAGAAAAGTGTTTGTTTGCCCATAAATTTGTATTCAGTGTGGTTGAAAACAATGGCTTTCCTTGGCAAAAGCACAAAGCATTATTCAATATGTTTTCTTTTGTGTTTTCTAGAAGAAATAATTTCATACTACTTTGGAACAAAATTAGGGTAAGTGATGACAGAATATATATATATATATATATATATATGTATGTTTTTTTTTGTTTGTTTTTTTAATTGTATGGATTTCATTGCAGTAGAAAAAAACATCAAACCAAGTGGTAACTGCAAACAAATGATACTTCTCAAATGATAATTTTTCATGCATGTACAGTATGAAGTCAGTTCTCCTCAAGTTCACACAGGTGTCCTACCAGAATAACCATAGGTGTAGTTCAGCACATTAACTATGAACATCCTCCGCTGAAGTCTGTATAGCCAGAAAGTGTTCAAATGCCTTTTGGCTTCATTTCAATTATATACAGTTTTAAAATTTAAAACATAAGCTCATTGTGAAATATTTTAATGGAAAGGTGCCCCTGAGCTATCTTTCATTAATTAAATGCTGTTTTGTTTTAAAATGTGGTGAATACATACATATTAGTCCACCTTATATGTCATTATTTCAAATTGATACAGAATGTCCTGTGTTATTTTATACGTAAATTCCAGGAACCATCAAAGCTCAGTTGTTAGCAGGGTTACAGTACAGGATTTCCTGAGTACGCCAGAGTGGGCTGATTTCACGTTGATAAAAACAATGTGATGAGTAAAAATAATACCCTGTGCCTTACAGTCAATTGAATGGCAAGCTGTGTCTCTAAATTAGCACAAAACACAGGCGAATTGAATGTAAATGAACTTCAAATCATGTCGCTGTAAAAATAGCAGTAATAAAAAGCAGAGGATCGATCTTGATCGTTTATTCTCACACAGTGGTTTGTGAACTGCTTTCATAAAGCTGTTCAAAGTATTTTGACGAGCAATAAGTGAAACAAGCCTACATTAAACACTGTAATAGATTCTAATATAGCAAAAACAGCTAACATTCCCATTATATTATATATAAAAATATTCTAACAGAAATGCATAACTTCCCATAACTTTTTAAATCAGCTGTTTTACAGTATCGATACAGTATAGAAATCCCACCTTTTGGACATGTGCTGCATTTCACATCTCCCATCTTGACTACGTTCAGTGTTTTCTCGATTCGGTCCTTACTAAAATAAATAACCATTTCTCCTGCACTTGAGTCCTCGCTTCCTCTATCCTCACGCACAGTGACAGGTGTCCCAATACTTATGGCAATATAGTGTACATATTTTTAAAAAAGCACATGAAAATATTCATTTGTAGTTGCTTGCATATGACTTAAAAAGACCTACCTACA